CCCATCGCTTTTCGCCCGCCTCAATCACCGATCTAGGTATCCGAAGAGACCCATTCACAAATTCCGTCTCATAATAATCGAGCTTGAAATCAGGACTGACTGAGAAAAGAGACGCCCAGGTACGCTCGTCACCGACGGCACCTGAGCTGGCTCCGCCGGTGACGGCCGCCATCGAGAAACCGAGCAACGAGCAACGCGTTAGAGAGAAGAGGAAGAGAGAGAAGGATAAATATATTATTACTAGAATGACTAATCGTAAAATTTCAATAAAATAGATAAATTAGTAAAAATAGTAAACGAATATCAAGAATAATAATATATATAGTAGAATATAATAATAATTTTTTAAAATAAATATTAGAATATCTATTTAAACCCCCTAATTCAATTAGAAGCACCATTAGAAATAGTTAAAATAGTACCTAATCAATCATCAATACAACAAATCAAAGAAGGATAAATGAAACACCATAAAAAAGAATTAAACATATTTCACTAATTGAAAAAATTTAGAACGAAAAGAGATGGAAAGTAACCAAGTAATAAACAAAATATAAAAACTACAACATTCGGTAAAAATAATATAAAAAAGAAAATATGACTATAAAAGCTACAATCTTTTTTAGTTACAACATTCATGAAATAATTTAATTATTAGAACACATAATAATTGAAAATAATTATAGCGACAATTTTTTCTAAATTTTCTATTCAAAAATTGATTTTGTATCAAGTATTCAAAAGAAAATTCTAACTACACAATAAAAAAATATTGTTTTTCATAAGTCCAAATGATTTTCTTATAATAAGAAAAGTAGAAGGACAAATTATTAAATTTAGAAAACGGAATATTCCAAGAATATTATGTCAACTTTAACGGAATGCACTTAGGAGTAACTTAAATGGTACCGGGTGCACATATAATAGAGTTCAGTGGTACCCGGCGCCCTATTCAATCAAACTTAAGTGGTATGCCTACCCTAATTCTCAAACTTAAGTGGTACCCGAGGTATTTTACCGCATAAATAGTTGCGACCCTGATGGCTAAAAATTTATGTTTCGTAATTTAGTAATCCTAAGTTATGAATAGTTTAACTTATATTTTTTAATTTAAAATTTATATTTTCATTCACGATAATTGAATACGAACATTCCGATGAAATTTGAACAAATTCTGAGATACTTTGTTTTTAGTTGAAATGGAAGAAAGTTACACCGAGATGAACTTCGTTCATCAAAGTTATCAAGATTTTGAACAATTTCGGAGATACCATTTTTCAGTTGAAATGGAAAAACGTTCCAATTTTTAAATATATATTTTTTGTTTTCAAATAGCAATCGAACGGTTGAAAGTTACAATGAAAGAGTTTTGTTAGTTAAAAGCACTCACAACAACACAAGTATATTGAATTTAAGTACTAAACAAAGAAAAACTAAAATAATCCCCCACCATTTTAGCTCCCCCCATTTTAGCCCCCTCTTAAAATCCCCCAAAGAAGAGCTAAAATAGCCCCCTAAAACCTCTTATAGTCTTTTACCCCCAAAATTTGCCTCATGGTTGAAGATGATTTATTAGGGCTAAAATGGCATTTTGCCCTTTTAGCACTAGGGTTGTGGACAGTCTAAGAGAAGAAGAAGAAAAACAATTCTCTCTCATCTAAACTAAAAGAAAAAAATTATCCATGTTTTTGCCAACTTTAACTCCAACTCTACAACACACACACACACATATATATATATATATATATATATATATATATATATATATATGGAGAGTTCTACGGCACCCAGGGTGAACTATTGAGAAGGTTCTCCGGAAAGATGTTCGGGACAACCACATCGGGGCAATTCTGGAGGAGATAGTCAATTCGTTTGCGTCAAACTTAGGGTTCTCTGTGCGATTTGTAGGTCGAAGAAACAATAGGGTAGCTCATTTGGTAGCTAGACAGGCCCTGTCTTTGTTCCCGACTGCATGTCGATCTTTTGATTTCCAGGCCTGGCTGTATTCCAGGATGTAATGATCTATTTGGTTCAATCTATTGATTATCTTTTGTCAAAAAAAAAAAAAGGGGGTGAAATCCGGGGTACCGCATACCTTGAGCAAGAAAACGCTATCCATAAGTTGAATTGACTAATCTTTCGGATATGATACTATACTTAATCCTTAAAGATCAAAATCTAGGTATTAATTCTCTAAATCTTATACACCAAGATCAATTTAATTAGAAGCAATAATCGACGGTTATGATCCATCCAAATATAAGCAAAAACAATTAATGCACCATCTTAGGATTTATAGTTTATGATTTAGATAATTAAGAACTAGGGTTCACTCATTAATGATTAGTGTATAGTATCATGCCCAAAAATCCTACTAATTCGAGGTCTAGATAGCGTTTTTATACTCAGGTACCCCATACCTGAGTATAAAAACGCTATCTAGACTTCGAATTAGCAAGATCTTCTGACTCTTCTTTCCCTGAACTGGGGTCGATGACCACCCTTTACCACCATTGTAAAACATGGTAACCATAAAAATACGCTTAGTTACCACACATTACCATATGGTATAGTATGGTAACCACAATAAACATCTAGTCACCACACAATACCACCATGGTATAGTATGGTAACCACAATATACATCTAACTAAGACATACTTCACATGCTCGTCTTCTGCCTCCTCTACCACCATGGTAAAATATGGTAACCATAAAAATACGTTTATTTACCACACATTATCATATGGTATAGCGTGGTAACCACAATACACATCTAGTTACCACAGAATACCACCATGGTATAGTATGGTAACCAAAATATACATCTAACTAAGACATACTTCACATGCTTGTTTTCTGCCTCCTCTCATTCTCTCCTCCGCGAGAACACAAAAAAAAAAAAAGAGGAAGATTGAAATTGCAAATCCACAAACAAATACTAAAACACAAAACATGCAAACTCGACTCGCCTAGATCATTCCCCTCTTGGTCGATATGGAACTTCACCAAATTTGAAATCGAGGACTTGATAAAGGGAAAACATAATGAAAGAAGAGGGATTCACTTTTCCATCGTCCATTGCTGGGGAAAAAAATGAAGAAGAGAAGAAGAGATTAGATCTTGAGAACAAGAAAATTGAGAGAGAGAAAGGAAGAGAGAAAGAGGAAAAGAGAGTTTCAGGAAAAAAGGAAAGGCTGCATTCTCTCTCCTCCATTGAAACCATCTAATAAATGCTGGGCAATATAAATAACAAAAAAATTACAAAATTAAAGAAATATACAAAAATACCTCTACTCATCTCCACATCCATCCCAGACACACGATGAATCCGCCCAAATCAACGGCTTCTAGATGGTTATTGACGAGTGAGTAACCAATAGTTACTCACAGTATCCTGAGCCGTGTGTGTCAGGGAGGAATCCTCGCCTTCTCCACTACCTCCAGCAAAGGAGACACGACGAAGGTTGTTGGAGGCCGACGAGGAAGACAGAGACATCTCGCCTATTGTAGTTACCGCCTTTATGGCTTCTTCTCATCAGCCTCGACCCCACCGTACCGGACCACACCACACAGGCGTGGTCTGGTCTAGATCGTATAGTATGTGGTATGGTCTCTGGTCTATACTTTAGTCTCTCAGTCTGGACCGTAGATTGTCTATATGGTCTGGTCTGGACCAGACCGCACCGTTTCCCAGCCCTACCCAAAAGGAAATTTCCTCTACTAGTCCTAAGATTCGCTCCCACACGTAGTCAACTAGACTTTCCAAAAACATAATAGGAACTAACAAAATCGAAGGAATTTTATAATGCTATATAGCAATTGATGCTATAGGTTTTTGCCTTTATGGTACAACTTGAATTTGTATCATTGACGTTATGGTGCAGCTTCAGATTGTATCTATACTCTTTTGTACAAATTCTTTTATGGTACAACTTGAGCTTGTACCTTTATGTGATGGTACAACTTTAAGTTGTAAAGAGTACAAATTCCTTCATAATACAACCTGAACTTATACATTTAACATTATGGTACAACTTCAAGTTATATATTAAAACACCAATTCTGTATAGCATAGTAGAAGTGCTCACAAAATCGATCTCGTTTTAGGTAGAAATCTCCAACCCCTACATCGCAAATGACACAAACCCTTTCTATTTAATAAGGCTCAATCCACAAATTTAAATGTGATGCATATCACTATATAGAAGCCGAACTTACCTCAAACACAAGACACATAGTCATCCCAAGAAAAGTCTGTTTGTGAACAAGAAATAAGCAGTCTTAGCTATTACAGAAGCAAAAACAATGCGCTCTATTGACCAGGCTAAGAGCATTCTTATAAAAGAATGATTGGAAGAAGTAGACCGAAAGAGGATAGAATCGTCGACAATAATAATTGTGGACAAGGGCGAAGCTACCTTAATTGTGAGAATCGCCTATATATATCCGATGAATTTTGAAAATTATGTATAAACTAAAACACCAGATAAATGTAAAAGTGTGCAAGTTGTAATCAAAGTTATTCTTTCTATCTCAATGAAAAAGTTGTCAATTAATGGGTCATTGACTGCGTACTACTTCAAGTCAATTTGGTCACTCAACTTCATACTACATCAAATTCAAACTGTATTAATTAAATTCTACTTGGATTTTGTACAAAATTTAAATTTAAATTGACTAGATTCCCTTGCAACCGGCTCAAATTAAAAAGATCAAGTTATTATAACTAATTTAAGATATTATGGAAATTTTCAAAGAAATTTCCAACACATGCACGAACAACCCTTAGAATCAAAATCTTACACAATGCTAAGAGAAACACGAGAATTTTGTCAATAATGCACTGCTTTCTTCACAAACTGTATGATCAAAATCCACACAAACAATATAGATAGATGACTCCAGAACAACATCGATCTCACTTGCAAGTCGCACATTCACCTCATTTTATTACTCGTCAAAGAAGAAAAGAAATTTGCGAATTGCCTCACAGTCGCTCAATATTTCCAGCCGGATTTCTTCACCTTGACGACGTCATCATCACGATCAAGATTCCCACGGCGGAGCCCTCTACTTGAACGTTGCCCCGAACCAGCAATCGTCGCAGAGTATCCAGCAGTTGACGCAGTTGGTGGTGATGACGATGACGATCTTCTTAAACTCTTCTCCCAATCGAATTTCTTATGTTTATGGCCACGGTCACTACTACTGCTAGTCATCAGAGCTTCTCTCTTGATCTCTTTGATCTCCATCTTACTGTTATTACCATGATCACCACTTCCTCCTTCAAGCCTTACGCTTATCACCCACACTTCCGAACGTAGAGGCGTGGCGTTGTCGTTGTTGGGCTTGATTGAAGCTCCTTCCATGTGTTGATAGAGGCGGTGCAATCGCAGCACCAGCTGGCAAATCCCGTCCTTGATCTCCAGCTCCATGCTCTTCTCGATCTCCTTCTCCAGCTCCTCCCTAATCTTCAGCTCTTTTTTCGACGTCATATCGAATCTCACAGCGCCTTTGTAATGCTATCAGTATATGGTGATGAATGATAAAGATGGCGATGATCAGTATAGAGAGAGTGTGTGTATATATATGAGGGACAGAGATTAATTTGAAGGGAGTTGTCGGGTTGATTTGAATTCTCTAATTCCTAATTGCCTCTAATTCAAGGTTGGTTACTTGGTTTGATTCGAATTTGGGCGCCAATGCAAAATTATCCCTGAAATGATCAAGTGTGTGAGTTGGGTTTACTGAAGGTAACAAAGACACGGCAAAATATTTTGAGGAGATGTCAAAAACAAGCAGTGCTTTCCGTCAAAGGGAGTATACAGAGAGAGGGTGACATAAGTCATATGGGATGGAGCTGGCGGAGCTGAGAGGGGCGGGTTTTTGGCTTTGAAGCAAAACCCACATGGCGTTTGATGTGTATGTATGTTTGTCTATTTGGGTCATTTGATTGCATTCCGTGCCTAAGAAGAGGAAAGGAAATTGGTTCAACTGTCAACGCAGGCCCCCCCTGCCTCTAACCTGAAATGGGATGTCGATTGGGTTTTATAGTCATTTGGGTAAAAAGCCCATCCATCATAACCCCGGTCCATTAATAAACTGAATACATCTTAGGATCAAGGAGCGGACCATCATTGCATTCGGTGCTCTTGGTCCGGTTCGGTTCGCTCCAAATATTAGCTCGGTCCATCATTTCTTCAGCAATTATGAAATTCATGTGGACCAAGAACCGGACCACATTATACTCGGTCCGGTGCGGTCTGGTCCAAATTTCGGTTTAGTCCGATACGGACCAGACCATTGCACACTCCTACCTCTACCTGGAAATCCATATTATTCGATTGGCGAGTGTTGCACAGTTGCTCAGTCCCGCGAAGCATATTAGCTGGCTATCGTCTGCCACTATATGTCACAACTAGGGCTAGAAGTTTGGTACCAATATTGGGGATATACTGAATACTGTATCGAGTTTATTGATATTTTTTATATCCTAATACATGTATTATTTCATGAGATTGGAATTCAATTTGAAGTGTAATTGGTAGGGGTGTGCAATGGTTTGGTCCGGTCCGGACCAAACACATGAGAACCGCGGTTTATTAGTGAAAGATATCTTAGTACCAAGGATCGGACAAACATTGCATTCTGTCCATTTGGTCAGGTTTGGTCCGGTCCATATTTTCTTCAGTAATTATAAAATTCATAGAACCAAGGACTGCATCGCATTATAATCGGTTTGGTTCGTCACGGTCCATTCCAAATATCGGTTTGGTTCGGTAAAATCTGGTACGGACCAGACCATTACACACCCCGAGTAATCGACATTAGAGATTATGAGATTGATATCATTATTGTACTGATATATCGAAAAATAGCAAAGTATAAGCTAGTAGTACATTTTAACTCTCCCAACTAGATTCTCCTAACACATTGTTACCAGGTCATCAACCACCAAAATTTCTCTAAATTATTCATAGCTCATTCTCATAATTCTGGTGCTTGTTCTTGGGTGATAATAATAAGGAACAGTTAATCTATTTGTCGTCTATGGTATGAAGAGTTTTGGTAATGTTAGATTGGTAGTCATGCTTTATGATTTTAATTAAATGTTGTAGGCTATTACATTTGACACCTTCTTTCATTATCTCAGAAAAGTCTGTCTTTTATAGATTGGTAGTTTCGGTTTTTTAATTGAATTAATTTAGTATTCAGTATTATTCCGGATTAGAATATCGAATTTATTTTGGAATGTGAACAACAATTGATTTTAGAACGTTATTTGATATCCTGAATTTAGAACGTTTTTGGATTGATGGGAACAGCTGGGTGTTTGAGAAACACCTCGCCTCAGCGCAACAGATCACTTCTCAAGTTGGAATCCTACGACGGCAAGTGGAGTTGACCCAAACAGCGAACAACCGAGGTATGGTGGGGCCACCTGAGCGAAGCACACGGTTGATCAGCTGGCAGCGGCCGCCGAGCAGTTGGTTCTGCCTTAACACTGATGGCTCGGTGGTGGGAGGTCAGGGAAGTACGGCGGCGGGGGGGGTGTGATCAGAGACGAAGCGGGTCGTTTTGTGAAGGCTTTTTCAACCAATTTGGGTACGGGTTCCATTACCTATGCTGAACTTGCAGGGATTGTTTTTGGCCTCCGATTAGCTTGAGATGAGGAATGCCGAAAGGTGAGGGTACAGACGGATTCAACCATCGCAGTTCAGCTTATACAGGAAGCAATGCCAGGCCATATTCACTTTATTCAGGTGGCCATGATTCGAGAGCTTCTAGCGAGGGAGTGGGAGGTTCTGATAGACCATCTGTTTAGAGAGGGTAATGTTGTTGTGGATTATCTTGCTTCAGTTGGACATAGCTTAATCGTTGGGGTTCACGTGTTTGAGAACCCTAGTTCGACATTAAGCCATTGGCTGTACTTTGATCTATTGGGGGTCCAAACCCCTCGTTCAGTTATTATATAAGGGTTAGGAGCGCTCTGCATTCCAAAAAAAAATACCAATATCATGCTCGGATTGTCCTATGGCACTTGTTATGGTGGGCGTAAGTTGCTTCAAAAGCTTCCTTTCGTCCTCAGTTCGACACCGAGGCGGCACGAATTCATGCTACATCCCATTTTGTTCACTAAAGTTTTATGTGTTGATTAGGGCTGGAAGTTTGGTACCGATATTTGGGATATACCGAATACCGTACCGAATTTGCCTATATTTGGTATTACTGAATACACGTATTATTTTGTGGGATTGGGATTGAATTTCAATTGTTATTCGGTATTAGGGATTACGGGATTGGGATCGGTATATATCGAAATACGCGATTAATACCGAAATATAAGTTAGTGTGTATATTATCATCTCAACTAAACTCTCTCATTCACTACTACACGAACACGACCCTAAACTACCAAGAGTGTCATTTAATTATACATAGATCATTTTATCACTATTAATAGCCGTCTCTCAACCTCCAATTCATCAAATTAACGATTACCAATGAAAAGAACTTGAGATGTCTCCTCTCCTCCTAACTCCTTAATAATATCCTAATTCAGGACACTTTGCTTAGTCTTTTTCCCCTAAATTAAACAATAAAATCTAATTTATATGTTTAATTATTAGTTGCAATGGTAATTAATTTTGTACTTGATAATACCAATTGGGATACCCAAGTACCGATTGAAAGACCAAAATATTTAGGAATTGGGATACCAAAATTATTTAAGAATTGTGATTGGGATTGACTTTAGGATGTAATTCCGTATTCACGACACCAAGTTGCGGACGACATTATTACTCGAAAATTATAGGAAACAATCAACATTTACGCTCTTTCAGCTTTACATTTCAGCGTATAATAACCACCACGAGTGAGCACATGAAACACTGGGAGGTCAATGAGACCAAATACAAGGTGGCAGATGGGTGAGGAAACAAAACTATGTATAATTGCTATGGCGAGAAACAAACTCTATTTTTATTATCGACAGATATAACTATAATGTGAAAGGCTAGTATAAGAACCCTCCCACAAACATGTATCTCTACTGATAGCTAGCTATTTATACGAAGTTGTGAAACTCTAAACGAAAACATGATTCTGAAGAACTGGTTTGTTCAATCATCTTTTGTGCCAAGGACCTGTTGCTTCAGCTCCTCAATTTTCGCAACCAACTCTTCCCTGTTTTTCTGCACATCAACATAACAAGCAAACCATGTCAAATAAGTGAAACTATGACATATGGAGGGCTTAAGTATCAACACGAAAGCAGGTGATCACTGATCAATCAAGCTATTTACAGCTTTTACCTTGAACAGCAAATAGCGGGTAGTGAACCAGAAAGTGTAGCCGAGTCCCACAACTTCCATCAGCTTAGGAAACTGCATACAGAACCGACAGTTTGAACCCATCATCAGAACAAATACTCAGAAATACAAAGAGGAATTGATGCTGTTAGAGAACTATATTATTTACTCACCAAGGGAATGGAATCAACGGCACTGACAACAGCTGATGTCAACCACAAAGCGAGTAGAGCTCCACTTCCATATATAACAAGGGAAATTGTGTCCTCTGAGTCAAACTGCAGGTTCACAATAATAATCAAGTTATCACAGACATCGAGATCAGCTGGTACAGATTCCAGCATACAAGCAGCAGCAATATTTCATCAATGGGGCAAACAGCAATTAAGAAAATCAAAATCAAGCGCAGGTGCACCATAGATCGTGGTGTGTTACATCAGAGTATCAAAGGCATCTTACATCTTCTGCTAGCATGCTTGAAAACAAGAATGTGTTCGATCAATCAAGAATATGAATACGAAAAAGTAGTACTAGTGTAAGACTCAGAAATTGGAGAATCATCAAGGCCAATCGACCATTGTGACGAGCGAACCATATTTATCTTCACAGTCCTCAAGTATAAAACAAGTGAAAGCAATTGTCAGGGCAGACCATTCCAATGGGGAAAGTAGCCAAATTTTATTTAAAATATATCAAGAAAGCAAAGTTGAAAAACAGAGGTTAAATACTTGCTCAGCTAACCGCTCAGGCTCGACATATTGTCGAATGTTTCATCAAGCATTGGAAATGCTCTCCACTACCTTATTGCTCATCATAGCAACCAGGCCTTTTTTTAGTGAAATCCCATTAAATTGAGAAAAACTTCCGTCTAGCAGCAGCAATATTTCATCAATGGGGCGAGCTGTGGTTCAATAACAATCAGAATTAAACCCAGATGCACAGTAGGTCATGTGTTTATGTTACGTCTGATTATTGAAGGCGTCTTACATCTTATACTTGTATGCTTGAAATAGACAAGAGAAGGAAACAAAAAACAAGAACTTAAACTACAAAGCAAAATTTTATAAATTCATTCAATCATGAAGATGAAGAGTAAAAAAATAAAACTAGCACAAGCACTCTGACAATCGGAGAATCATCAAGGTCAGTCGACCATTGTGACGAGCGAACCATATTTATCTTCACAGTCCTTGGAGTAAGAATAAGTCAAATCAATTCTCGATGCATGACATGCCAAAACAAGGACCAAGCGGGTAAAGCAGCAAAATTTGATTGTACACATCAAGCAAGAAAAGTTGAAAACAGAGGTTAAATACTAGGCTCAGCTAACCGCTCAGGCTCGACAATTTGTCGAATGTTTCACCAAGCATTGGAAATGCTCTCCACTACCTTATGGCTCATCATAGCAACCAGATTTCACATCCAATATGACATAGAAAGAAACAAAATACTGTCCACCGACTGAAAAGGCAGCTGATAAGGTATGAACCAGCATTGCAACAACCAGCACTCAGTTGCAACAGCATCAAACACGTATCTATAACGATTGATAGGGTAAAAAGATCCAAACTTAGGTGACCTATAGACAAACCTTGAGATTGAGATCGGCCAGAAACTCATTTATGCTCTCCGGGAAAGCGGGTCCTTCACTTTCCGGCGCCGCGTTTTCATCGTAAACAACTTCAGGTTCAACGGCAGCCGAGACTTTTTCTTCAGCTACCTTCGTCGTGCTGCTACTCTCACCAAACCCGCTAGTTCCCTCTACGACATAAGGCGTATTCACCTCGGTCGACGTTTCCTCAGACGCTCTCGCCGTAAACCGCAGAGATCCTGAAATAGAGTAAACCAAAAAACAAACCAGTGAGTGAAACGCCATTGGAAAGAATCCAAAAACACAGCAATAGAGCTACCCAATTAATTTCGTCCACAAATAAGAGCAAAATATTAAAACAATATAAACAAAGCCCGAGATTCAAGTTCAGCTAATGAAAATGAACAGAGAAAAGCAAGACGGAGAACGGCAGAATAGTCCATACTGGAAGCGCGGAACGAGCGAGAAGTAAGGAAGCGAGGCAGAGCGGCGGAGGAGGTGCGGAGGAGGGGGCGAGCGGCGTTAGATGAGGGAGTGGGAAGTTTAGGGAGAGAAGAGACGGCTGCTTGAGAAGTGCAGATCTCCATTTGTGGGGGGGAGGAGGAAGGTTAAGGGGTTTGTGTGTAATGGGCTGCGGCTCGGCGGCGAGCAGCACTTGTCGCTGGAATGGAAGGTGTGGTGACTTGACTTAGTTCTTATAGGGGAAGGGAAGTGAGGAAAGGGATAGTCGTAGAACTGTAGAAGAGACCTAGGATGGTAGGGTCGCTACTGCGCATTTGAAATTTTGAGGAGAAGAATTGGTTAGAAGAAGATAAAGCCGCGGTAGCTGGCTGCAGCTGCTAGGGTTTTCCTCCCTTCCTACTTTCTCCCACTTTCCTCTCGTGCTTCTTTTACGTTTCTATCCCTGATTCCCTTCCTTCTTTGATCTTTCCCTCTCCTTCCCGGCTGTAGCACCGCTGCAACTTTTTCGTGGAAAACTTGTAAAAATTTGAACTCCATTACTCGTAGCCGGGCTTAGGACTCTGAGCCCAAGCAAAACGAAATCCTAATCGAAGGCCCAATGATCCGAAAAATGATACAGGCATTCCAATTTTTCTTTTTTAAATGATACATGCATTCCGAATTTCCGATATCTCATGGGCATGGCTAGATAGATGAAGTTTTGGAATACATATAACATAGGATGTTGCTACGGTGACATGCATGTCACCGTGACATGGACTTTTTGGTCGACCTAATCCAAAAGGTGGTCGACCGAATTGACTAATTAAGTTATGTGAGGTTTCGAGATGCGGTCGACCTCTTACATAATATGGTCGACCTCTTTGATGGACTAACAGAATGAAAGGTCGACCCAAATACCTCATAGGCCGACCCTTGTGCACCTAAAAGGTCGACCGCATTAGAAAGGGTCGACCGCCTTCACACCGTATCCGTATTGGTTTAGGTTTCACACCGTATTGTTTAGTTGTTATGCTATGAATTGATGAATCTTTGTTATCATTATTTATGACTATTTATGATGGTTTGAAACATAATTTATACGAGCAAAAGAACCACACAAATCGACATACATAAGCAAAAAAGACATGGGGCATAAGTTGACTTTCTTGTATTCGGTAGACCTCGTACTGGATTAGGTCGACCTCGAAACCAACATTTGATCTTCATTTTACGTCAAATGATTGGACACATTGATAGAACACTTATCTTCTATCTGGTCGACCTCTTTCTTTATCTGGTCGACCATGTTGTTAATGAATGTCATCAAGTGGTCGACCTATATACCTTTATGGTCGACCATGTTGTTTCTGACGCCAACGAAATAGCCAACCGAGGTTTTATTCTGGTCGACCAAAAATAACAACTTAAACTAAGTGCGGTCGACCAGGTGGTCGTTGAGGTCGACCGCAATGCTTTCTCGTGCTGCCCAAATTAGTCAATTCGGTCGACCGCCTTCAAGATTAGGTCGACCGAAAAGTCCATGTCACGGTGACATGCATGTCATAGTAGGCATACCCTATAACATATTGTTATGGGTCCACGGTTGGTTTTGATCCAAACAAAACCGATTGATCTAAGTTATTGTTGGGTATAGTTTTGTGGTTGATGTGACTGCAACAGATTTGTGATAACAATGGAGCAACAACAGGATAATAGAAAATAAAAACATGTGTTGTGGCCAATTCTAAAAAATAATGAAAGTTATCAACCAAAAACATAAATTATTCAAGAAATTAAAATTAGGAAAAGAAGAATGGATAAGAGAAGCTGTTTTTAAAGTAAATTGGATGGAGCGGCTGGGTTTCAAGGAATCAACAAAGACAAAGATGGAGGATGGTTGGCTTATACAAGTATAGCCCCACTTTTTTTTTTAACTTTGGATCTCCTTATTGGAGATGGTATAGACTTAGTGTCGTATGCCATCTACAAAGTGATTCTTGATTCAATAGAGTGCAAAAAAGCAAGACTTTCAATACCCATACTCGCCATGTACCAAACACTGGGTTGGGGCAAGTAGTAATGCTCGGGTACGAGGCAAGATGAGTGGACCCACCCTAATATGTTATTTGAAAAAATACACTCGAAATATTATTTTTTACGATAAAACGAACGGAAAACATTTTATGAATGAAAAATAGTGATAATAGAATGAGTAATTGAGTCTAACTAATTGCAAGATTAAGTCTAATTAGTAAAAGAAAATTCAAAATAAGACAAATATGAATAATTATTGTAAGAAATTAAAATAGAATGAGCCAAGAACAAAGCACGGTGGGGCGAGGGCACGATTCAGGTCGGGTAATCCCCTATGGATCTAGCTCTTTTTCTCTATTCTGGCAGGGTCTGGTTGGGACCGACTGATCTAACTCTTTTTCTCTGTTTCATAGGTATCCGAGTCATCACTATCTCCTGAGTCGTACAAAACCGATTGATTGTTTATACGGGTTAATGCGGGCTTTAAGAAAGCAATCGAGTGTGCTAGACTAGGCACTCAAACAAGCCAAAGTTAGCTCTTTGGCTCTTAAGCACCCATGGTTGGAGTGGAGTGAGTGCCAAAGTCTTGCTCTTGGGCACCTTGGAGATGGCCTCAGCCTATGCACGATCACCTCACTGGAATAACAAGAGAGTTCGCAGAAAAAACAGGTGCTACCAGAAACATAATGCAGAGAGAAGAAAACACACAAACTTACACCATGATAAATACGGAATTCAATTCAGTCAATCGATCGATCAACTGGCAATCCAAATTTCTACTCGCAAGAGACGCAAAGGGAGTTTCTCACCAAGTGAGTAGCTTAAGAGCAACAGGAGAGATATATGCAGTTGACAGAACGACTAGAAAAACACAAGAAAGAAAAGCAAAGTGTACACAGCTAACAGATATAAGTTATACTTGAGAGAGTATACAGCCCCATTGAATTTCTAGTTCCACCCATCACCCCACAGCGAAAGCAATCCAGTCCAGTCTATGCCTCATCTATCTGCTCCTGCACAAATAATGCCCAACACGGAAGCAGCTTGGTAATGCTAATCTACGAAGGCTCATAATCAGATGCTTGTGCCGTATTTTGACTTTTTCAATGACCGGTAAGAGCTTAAGCCAATTCCTATCACAGGTATTGCAATTCCCTGCCATATCTCTACGTCTAACAAAAAGAAAGAGCACTAACCTGCATATCTGAAGTCCAGAGAGTGAGGTTATCTCGGAGTAGTTGCATAATGAGAGTGCTGTCCTTATAAGATTCCTCGCCCAATGTATCCAGTTCAGCAATGGCTTCCTCAAAAGCCTGAGGAGATCAAAGAGCAATTCAGGATACACTATTTCCATATGAAGCAAACACTAAAAGCAACCTAGATACAACCAGACACCAAGACCATGAAGAAAAAGTTCTCCTCTGATGACTTTGCATCAGTGAGAGATTCTAATAACGCAAACTCAGCTCATTGAAGGCAGCCATGTTGATTTAAGTGATCCCGCATCTGTTATGGCATTCTAGTAAAACAAATGGTTGAAAAAATGAATGCTCTCCTTGATAGTCTATCGATTTAGAAGTCCACAAAAGGTCCCCTAATTGTTAACTAATATCAGTAAGATTGCAAAGGGTTGCAGCAATTTTGTGAACTGAAATTGTAACATAGAGACCGACCAAGCATGAATCTTATTCACGCATTTAGAAAGGAAAATTAATCAAAACTTGAAGATAACATCTCTTGTGGTGATGAAACATTTATTCTGATGATGGCTTCAAATGAAAAAGTAAAGTAACGACTTTAAATCTACTCTTACGAAGTAAGCAAAACCATATGTCAAATCAAATCCAATGAAAGAAATAACAGGCAACCAATATAGCAAGTTCAAAATCTAAAAACACTTTGAAGAATTCAATTATATAATGATTGTCCCTCTTCATAGATACAGTTCCACAGCAATTAATCTCTATCTACATTAACTAGACACTGTTAAGGAGGCTAAAAGTCCTTAATCATCTTGCGAATGGGCCCAAGAAAGATAATATTCCCAATGATACTCTAACTTCAATGGATGATTGCATCCCCTAACAGCATTGGATATACCAGGCCTAACCATAGGAGAGGTGAATTCAAAATGAACCCCATATGAGTCGCCTAAAAGTAAAAAGGCTTCCAGAATCTAAGAACTCGATCGACAGACAAACTGGGGGGAAAACGCTAACTTTTCACTTTTCCTTTTCAACATCACTCAACCAGTTTAAGAATACAACATTAGTACCCAACTGTTTCATTCTTATGTTGACTGGAGAAAGGTGGCAAACTGTTTTTCCGGACTATTTATATTGGAATTCCCTTCTCTTAAACCTCGCAGGCCCTCTCTCACCCATATTGGGTTCAGCTTGGATGAAGAAATAAGTATCATGTACTATGCAACAAAGACGGTTAACTACGACCTGGAAACATCTGTTCGTTGGTCCCCGTCGTGTATCTTTACTCAGATCCTTCAGACTTTCAACAAAGTTATTATCACTGTACAATCTTTGACTAACTTTCGTCCTAGTCAAACTTTGATGGAAATGGGAATAAGGACAGCTGGTTCAGGTGACTGCCAAAATTTACTTTTCAGCCCACTGGTAGAAGTGTAGAACATAACTCAGTAAAGTACAAGACTTTCACACACCATGTTCAATGCATACATCACCCAACACACGTTTGATATAAAGTATACAGTGAAGATGCAAAGCAAAATAAGACCAAGTTGACTATCTTAAAAGAGGAGAAGCATGGTTGACCAAGCATTTTCGGACGACATGGCGGAACTTGTAAAAGGAACAGTGATTTTGGGCAAACCTGTTTGGCCATGGTACAAGCTTTCTCTGATGAATTGAGGATCTCATAGTAGAACACTGAGAAGTTCAGCGCTAACCCTAGCCTTATAGGGTGGGTTGGAGCAAGATCAGCTAGCGCAATATCCTTCAGACAAAGCCAAATTAAGAAGCAGTGAGAATGACTGTTGACAAGTACTTCATTGATCAATCGGATCAAAGCGAAATAACTACTGTGATCTGTGAACAGTTTTTAACCAAATTCACATTTACAAAACACTCTTCGCAGGCCAAACATGCAATTCTCAGAGTCAAATCGAAATGCTAATTCACGGTGGCGGTTAACCCAATTGGATCTCAAATTTGGCCGGAAACTGTAAACTCCAAACAAATCAATCCGAAATTATACGGAAGAAAAGAAACTTATGGGATCAATTTTACCTGAGCAGCCTTGTAAGCAAGCATAGTATCCTCAGCGGCAGATTTCCTCTCATCTCCAACTTTGAACTCCGCCATGTATCGATGGTAATCCCCCTTCATCTTCAAGTAGAAGACCTTGGACTCGCTGCCGACGGCGGAGGGAACCAAATTGGAGTCGAGAATAGCCAGAATCCCAGCGCAGACGGCCGAAAGCTCGGTCTCGATTTTGGATCTGTAGTCCTTAACGAGCACAGCGTGCTCGTCGTTCCTCCTGCCTTCCTCTTTCTGCTCGATCGAGGACACTATACGCCAGGCGGCGCGGAGGGAGCCGATCACGTTCTTGTAAGCGACGGAGAGAAGATTCCGCTCCTCGACGGATAGCTCGGAGGCCGGGGTGGCGGACGTGACGAGCTTCTCCATGAAGCTCACCATCTCCTCGTAGCGCTCAGCTTGCTCAGCGAGCTTCGCCAAGTAGACGTACTGGTCTCGGGTCAGGGCTGCTGCCGGCGCCGACGCCATTGAAGGGGAGGAGAATGAGGTCAAAGTGGGGGCGAAGAAATCGGTTACGGGGGGATTGAGAGTGACGAGGAGAATGGGTTGATTTGAACTTTTGTGGAGAGAGAGGGCGAAGGATTGGTTGGCAAATGGCAATGCGTCTTCAACTAAAAGTCTAAAACGGAGCTTCGGAGGCAGGGGCGCGTGTATTCCGAGAATTCTATTGCGAGTAGCACATACATACTCGTACTAATCGCCTAGTGTGCGTTTAACTATAATAAAATGAGTACCAAATTTTGTTACATTGTTACTTATACAATTTGAAAGTTCTAGTTAAAAGTAGAAATTGAAAACATTTATCTTGGCATGTACAAAACTACCAAGTGAAGAATAAATTAAAGGAAAGCTCATAGGATAAGCAGCAACAAGAAAAGTGTCGTCAGGAAGTACCTAGTCCTGGAAACAAACATCAGTTCGCTCAGCCTAGTGGAAATGTCGATAGGGGAGGAGGCACACAGGGCAAAACAAACTCGAAAACTCAAGAACAAAATTCGACAAATGCTGATGGTGCGAGGAACCTATCCCCTTCAGGTCATTAATACGGATTCTGTGTTACAATTGCCGTGGATTGGGGAATACATTAGCAAAGAGATATTTGACGTCGTTAATTCGACGTATTTCCCACACTTGGTTTTCTTGATGGAAACCAAGCAAACAGATGATGAAAATGAAGCAATGGGACGAGATTTGGGTTTTGCAGGAGGTGAAAGCTGGCCAACTTTTCAAGGCAGGGGGGTCGAGCTGGCGGCCCGAGTTTGTGGTAGACTCACGACATCCAGTTAACAATCATGTCTACCTCTAGGAACCACATCGACGCCCGAATAGAAGACGAGACAAATGGAGTTTGGAGATTCTCGGGCATCTATGGATGGCCGGAGAGTGGTGAAAAGTATAGAACTTGGGACTTAATCTGCAACCTGAGCCAACAATGGGATGGTAAATGGCTATGTGGAGGAGATTTTAACCAAGTCCTAAGCCCAAGGGAAAAGAGTGGAGGAACAGAAGGTTATGATGCTGAGATGATTGCTTTCGAAGAGTGTCTCACTGATGCGGGACTTGGGGACATTGGTTATGAGGGCTACAACTTCACGTGGCAAATTAATCGTCAGGCTAGATCCTTTATAGAGGAGCGTCTAGACAGATTTTTAGCTTCGGAAAGTTGGAGCACCCATTTTGCCGCAACCACTGTCAAGCATTTAGATTAACGACGATCGGACCATAGACCAATTGTGTGTAATACCTTGGGAAGAGACAATGAAGATCCGCGCTGGGGGTGGCATTTTAAGTTCGAGCCTTTGTGGGCTAAACATCAAGATTGTTCTGGCGTCATTAAAGAGGCTTGGCTCGCTCCTGGAATGATAGACACCATGGACAAAATCGGAAATTGTAAGGAAAAGCTAGAGGAATGGAGTAGGAGCACTTTCCCGAACTTCACCAGGCAGCGTAAGAAAATTGAAAAGGCCCTGAGGGCGCTGGACAGGATGCAAAAGTCTGACAGTGTCTTAGAGTAGAGGCGTGCCCTGGAGTCTGAATTGGATGCCTTGGAAGAGGATGAAGAAGACTATTGGAAGCAGAGATCGCGAGCATATTGGCTGTGCGGTGGGGACAAAAATACCCCCTTCTTTCACCGTAAAGATTCTGCTAGGAGAAAGCGAAATACAATTCGTCGACTGAAGGATGATACAGGGGCTTGGTTCACAACCACGGGTCAGGAGCAGCTGTTTACTGCTTTTACTAACTACTATGGTGATTTATTTACAGCTGGCCCGAGTCCGAGTGTGACACCAGTCCTGAACTCAATCACGGCATCGATTTCTATGGAGGAAAACAACGACCTTGTTCAGCCGGTAATGAGAGAGGAGGTTGTTCTGGCCATGAAGCAGATGGGGAAGCGGAAAGCTGCTGGTGCGGATGGAATGACGGTGTTGTTCTTCAGGAAATTCTGGCCAATCATTGGAGATGATGTTTTTCATACAATTCGAAACATCATTGAGGGAGGGGATATGCCGCCACAACTAAATCATACCCTCATTGTGCTTATACCAAAGGTGAAGAGTCCGATGATGGCTAAGGAGTTCCACCCTATCAGCCTGTGTAATGTGTTATATAAGCTGGTGGCAAAAATCTTGGCGATCCGGATGAAGAGTATTCTTGATAAGATCATCTCCCCGACGCAGAGTGCCTTTGTTCCGGGTCGTGCTATCTCAGAGAACATTATGGCGGCATTCGAATGCTTCCATTCGATGAAGCACAGGAAAAAGGGACGGATTGGATACCTGGCGACTAAGATTGATATGGCCAAGGCATACGATCGGGTCAAATGGAATTTCCTGGAAGGAGTTATGCGGAGGATGGGGTTTGCTGATGCTTGGGTAACTGTGATCATGAAATGTGTGCGAACGGTGACCTACTCAGTATTAGTTAATGGCCATCAATCTAATACTATAATTCCGACCAGGGGATTACGACAGGGAGATCCTCTGTCCCCCTATCTGTTCTTGCTTTGTGCAGAAGGGTTATCAGCTTGTACAGAACTTGCAGTTAAGGAGAAGAGGATTCATGGGATTCAGCCGGCTCAAGGGGCACTGTAACATCCCGACTTTTGGGTTCAGGTTAAACCATAATGAAGAAATGAATGGTTAGATTAGCGGTTACGTACAAAGGGTGGCAACCGCGGATTAGAAATAATAATAATGATAATAACTATTATTGTTATATTATTATTATTATTATTGTTATTGTTATAAATATAAATATAAATATAAATATATATAAAAGAGGGTTGAGAACCCTTTTTCCCATCATAGCAAAAGAAAACCCCCAGAACCGATTCTTCCTTCCCTAGCATCGCCATCGCCGTCACCAATCCAAGCGCACTACCTCCTGCCCTAAAACCCACGTTAATTATATAATTCCATGGGATGGGACAAATCACCCTCACCCACGTTATTCAGTATATAATTTCATGGGATGGGTTGTTTTGTTTTGTTGGCTAATTATGAGATGGGTTTTGAATGCCTTCACAATTGGCTTGACGAGGACACGACTTGGATAAAGGACAATGGAAAGCATGGTTGATTGAAATTAGCATGCCATTACTGATTGGTCAAAGGTTGCAGATTGAGCCGGTGAATGGGATTATGCATTCCCTAACCGATAACATGGTATAATAAGGTGAGTGTAAAGGGGTAAATTCTACGTTACGTATTTTCAAGTATTTACCTTACACAATTTAATTATTTTTGTGAAGTGGTTAGTATGGTTGTTTATGCGTTTGGTTGATGATATGTGTCTTGTTTGAATTATGACTTGAAGTGAATGTTTATTATTTACTTTGAAATTTTACGAGTATAAGTTATTGTTAAAGTTTACGAAACAAATTCTTTTTAAGAAGTAACTCACCTTCAAGAAGGTGAAGTCGTTTTAAGTGTTTTTAGTCACTAGCGCCAGTCCGTTGCCATTTGAGATTTTGAGATAGAGCAGCAATTATGCTCTTGAGACTTTTAAGATGAGCATCAGTTATGCTCTTGAGATATTTTAAGATGAGCAGCAGTTATGTTCTTGAGAATCGTGGAAGAAGAGCCTTCCACGATAAGTTTAAGTTTTAAGGAAAGCCTTGATGGCTTCTCATACGTATGAGTTGGCAACCAGACTAGCTAGTGAGGGATCCCCGTGTCAGTCAAGTATTTAAGTCGAGATTTGAGCTTTAAGAATAGAGAGTAACAGTAACTCTCATACATTTGTAAGAGTTAGGAGTTTTAAGAGTGGAAGTACAAACAACTCCCACTAGTTTAAGTTAAGTATCTGAAGTAAAATACTCGAGTACTAGATTTTTAAAACGTAAGGACGTAGACTGACCCCATCTCACTACGAACTGTGGAAACTACTACAATGACCAGTACAAACAACTGTGGAAACTACTACAATGACCAGACTCTCTCATTGCGAGGATTTTGAAGGAAAAATACCACAAGAGAACATCGATTCTAGATGCTACGGTTGGATATAACCCAAGTTTTCTGTGGCGGAGCTTAATGACGGCTCAGGAGCTTCTCTATAGTGGTCTGAGATGGAGAGTGGGAGATGGGAGAACAATAAGGATTTGGGGTGACAAATGGGTACCATCGGCCCCTAGCTGCTTCATCAATTCGAGTCTAGTTGGCTTACCGGTCGATGCACTGGTGTGCGAGCTGATTGACGAAGAGACAGGGGATTGGGACAGGAGTATGCTTGCGAGCTGCTTGAGCTCCAAGATGGACGAGGAAGTTCGTCAAATTCCCCTGCGTGGTCATGGTGAAACATATAAGTTTATATAAGTTTAGTGGTCCAAAGTTTTGTTTGCTTTTTGTTGTTTGATTTCGCTTGTGTAGGGTATGAAAGTGGTCTAAAATTTTGTTTATTTTCAGTTTATTGGTTGTTTCCCTCTACTCTCATACTACTAGTATAAATATATTGTTTTAAACTGTATAGGAAGGAGAAGCAATAAACTAGTCTCAGTGTGTTAATATATGTTTGTTTATGATTCAGGGGTGCGTGAAGACAAGTTCACAACTGAGATGCATTATGGTGGACATATGGAGTATATGATGGTTTATATTGTCTCTTAAGTGGGAGGAAAAGTTCACCATTGGGATTGGGTTGATCCAGATTTGATGTCCAACTTAGAGTTAGATGGTTTTCTAACTGATGTAGGCTACCTAGAGCAAGTTAAGACCAAGATCATAGAAGAGTTTTGGATTAAGTATAACAATGCTTACTACTATAAAGAGGAAGGGCAGACTATGATGAAAGATGGTTATTGAAGGGAGAAATTCATTGAGTTGTATCTCATCAAGAAAGTGGACATGGAAGGCAACCTATCGACAACGAATCTGAGAGCTAGTCCAGTTGCAATGCCAAAAACATATAAAGCTGGAGGAGGTGATGGTGACCAGTCCACAACCAATATGAGGGGAAGACATACATGGAGGGGATGGATCTGATTGTGATAGTGGCATTGAGGATGTTGAAAATGAGTTCAGTGATGAGGAGTTTGACATAGGAGAGTTTGAAGATGATAGGGGCAATCACAATGTGATGATTGATGATAAATTTTGTGAAGACATAGACACAGATTGTGGGGACTCATATGATCTAGGCAGCTGCCATTCAAGTGATGACGAAGGTGGAAT